GCTTGTTCGTACATTAGCATTCCGTACTTGTCCATCTTTGGCGGTGATGACATCAAGGATACGGCCCATTTTCCATTGACTTCTTGGCAGACTGGAGTCACATATTATTACCAACTGACCGGACTGTAGCGGCTTTACTTCCTTGTGCCATTTTGGACGCTTCAATAATTGCGGCAAATATTCATTTATCCAACGTTTCCAGAATCGATTTTTAAGGTTTTGTGCAATTCGGCATTGTTTGCGTAAGCAAATCTTCTTTTCGTCTTCACATGGCGTTTGAGTGGAATTTAAACATCCCAGTAGAAAATGATTAGGAGTAATCGGTTCCGGACTCTCGGCTGTAAGAGGTATGTCCGTTAACGGTCGACTATTAATTATATTTTCTGCTTCTATTAGTACGCTGCAAAAGGTATCAAGACGAGGTGCTTCCTCCTTTAACACTCGATGTAATATTCGTTTTGTACATTGGACAAGACGTTCCCAACATCCACCGGCTGATGGATTAGCAGGACTGTTGAAAATCCATTCCACACCAGTTTTACCAGTTTCTTGTTGTATAGCGTCAAAATCTAACAATCTCTCCTGTTTTTTAAGTTTTGACTGTGCTCCTATGAAATTTGTTCCATTGTCGCTTCTGATGCGAACAGGCACTCCACGACGGTTAACAAAATTCTTCAGGCAAAGTAGAAAGGCATCTGTTGATAAATCAGTAGAAATTTCGAGATGTATGGCACGTGTAGTAAGGCATGTAAATAGCGCAATCCATCTCTTCTCACGGCGTCGTCCAATTGTTACAAAGAATGGACCACAATAATCTGTTCCAGTATATGTGAATGGTCGGACATATGGCGTAAGGCGATCAGGTGGTAACTGACCCATCAATGGCACTGCTGGCGTAGATTTGTCACGTATGCATACCGGGCAATTTCTTTTAACTGTATTTAGCAAGGAATGACAGTTTGGTATCCAAAACCGTTGACGCATTTCGTTTATAGTTAACTTACTGTTTTGATGATGATTCTTTCTATGGTAATGATCCATGACTAGTAAGGCGATATTGTGATTGTGTGGTAAGATTATTGGATGGCGTGCGGAATCGGGCAAACAATAGGCGGCATCAATTCTTCCGTTAATACGTAATACTCCTTGATCATCTAATTTTGGTGTTAATTGAATCAGTTGACTGGACTTAGGCAATTCTTTCTGGTTTTGTAGAGCATTAATTTCTATCTTGTAAAGTTCATATTGAACTTGACGACATATATAATTTTCAGCGGCTATAAGCTCTTTTGGTATTAACTCTCCCTTATATCGCTGTTTCAGTTTTAAATTGTTGACGAATCGTAGAATCCAAGCTATTACACGAACTAGTTTTGTGAATGTTGAATACCGTTTCATATCAATGAGTGATCTATTATTAGCTATTAACAGACATTTCTTTGTGCATTCTTCTACTGCGCTGTGTAGTGAATACATTTGCGTTGGTTCTTTAGGCCATTCGCTTTCGTTTGCGAACAAAAAGGCAGGACCCTTTATCCATCGTGAATCGTTTTCGAGCATTTGCGATGGTTTAATTTTTGTGGCCTCGTCGGCTATATTGACTGCTGATGGTACCCAACGCCACTGTTTTGGTAGGGTACTGCTGAAGAGCTCTGCTATACGATTGGCGACAAACTGTTTATAATCACGTTTTGTTGAACGTATCCAAAGTAAAACGGTTTTTGAATCACTCCAAAATGTGGTGCTACTCACCTTTCGATCAAGGCATTTCTCCACTGCAATTTTAAGACGGCTACCCAACACTGCGGCTTGTAATTCTAAACGTGGCACGGTTGTTTCTTTCTTCGGTGCACATCTGGACTTGGCTGCTACAAAGGCGACATCAATATTGTTACCTTGTTTCATACGTAGATATGCTACTGCGGCATATGCAGTATCACTGGCGTCCACAAAAACATGGAATTGTAGTTCTTGTGCGGTTGAATATAATGGCGAAAAACATCGCAGTACAACTATATGACTGACTTTCTGAAATCCTGACCACCATTTACTCCATTGTGTGGCAAGTTGGTGAGGTAAAACATCGTCCCACTCAATTTGCAGCTTCCATGTAGCCTGGAGTAATATTTTAACGTCGATCGTAACATTAGCCAACAAACCAAATGGATCATAAATAGCCATAGCTAATCCCAGTAATTCTCTCTTCGTCGGCGGACGTTTACCATCTAAAACAGCACGTGGGATCTTTGCAAACTTAAAGTGAAACTCTAGTACGTCATCCTTTGAATTCCAAAACATGCCTAAAATTTTATCGGTTTTAGGCTGATGCTCCATGTTAATAACATCGGATGGTGTGGCGGCATTGTTATTTAACTGATTCTGCAATTCTTTATGATTTGATACAAAATTTCTTAGATGAAAACCGGCGGCGGTGTTAATGGCGATTGCCTCCTTGACAACTAAATTGGCTTCTTCAACGTTATCGAAACTGATAACAAGATCATCAACATACGTATTATCTGTAATGGCCTTAACGCCCTTAGGCATAGTTGCTTCGAAACGAGTGGCGTTTATATTTTTAATATGTTCTGCACAGCAAGGTGAACAGGCTGCACCAAATATCATAGAAGTCATCGTATAAACTTGTATTTGATTCGACTGATAGCTGTGTCTCCATAAGAATCTCTGCGAATTTCTGTCAGATGCTCTTATTTTGATTTGCGAAAACATCTCTTGGATATCACCTGCGACAGCGATTCGACGTTGACGAAATTTATACATGATAGTCATCAAAGGTTGTGCACGTTCAGGTCCTTTAAGTAAAACAGAGTTTAAAGAGACAGCTGTCACGGCAGCTGCTGCATCGAATACAATGCGTAATTTTTGTGGCTTATTTGGATTAATTACTCCAAAATGCGGCAAATACCATGTAGAAGGACTGTTGCGTTCTGCCTCTTCTGGTGTTAGTAGTTGAACATAACCCTTGTTTATGTACTTGCACATTTCCTTTCTATAGTTGTCAGCATATCTTTCATCACTACGCATTTTTTGTTCGACATTTAACAATCTACGTTTGGCCATTTCATAACTAGGCGGTAAGTGGATGTTGTCTTCTTTCCACAATAATCCAACTTCATATCGTTCACCGATATTTTTTACAGTGTCTTCAAGAATTTTTCTAGCTCGACTATCCTCTGTAGATTCAAATAAGGTGCTAGTATTTTTTATGCCCAAACTATCTAGTTCAAAGTATTCTTTTACTAGTTGATGTAATTTTATGTCATATGTTTTACGCATATGTAAGACATTAATAATGGGATTGACATTATATTGTGTCGGTCCATAGGCAACCCAACCTAACTTGGTGGCAGCGGCAATAGGTTCACTAGAACCGGCATAAATTGTCTGTTTGGCTACGCTTAGCATGCTGTGGTCCAGACCAATTAATAAACAAGGCTTAATGTCTGCATAACTTTCAATTGGCAAATGAGATAGATGATTGTATCGACCTTTGTCGAAGGATTGTTTCGGCAAATCCAAATTTCTGGCAGTATACACGTTCTTTAATTGATACGTTGTACATTCATTTACACGTTTAACTTCTAAGTTTATGACACGAGATTCTTCGGTAGTCTCCTTTTGGTTGTACCATTGCAATGTAAGTGGCACAGCGAGACCATTGACTCCAAGTTGTTCGGCAACATCTTCCTCAAGCAGCGTTACAGACGAACCTTCATCAAACATTGCATAGACTGTTGTGGTTGTTCGAGGGCCGCTTACGACAACTGGTAGAATTTTGAATAAGCAAGTATTAAGGTTTTTATGACAATTAAGTAAATGCTCGCGTCTGTTCTGAGTAATTGACGTAGAGGCTACCTCAGTCGATGATGACGTAGAAGTAGACGTGACTGGTGGCATTGTTTTGATGGCTTTGGCAGCTGACTGATGAAGCAGTTGATGATGCATACGTCTGCATTCATCAATTCCACATTCACGTTTAGACCGGCATTCCATTAGGCTGTGACCTCGTTGGAGACAACTGAAACATAGACGACTCTCTTTGACAAATTCCCATCTACTGGGTATACTAAGCGACTTGAATTGGCGACATGAACTTAACTTGTGACCTTCAGTACATTTGGTGCAAAACATCTGTTGTTCATCATTTTGTTGACTATTAAGTTTTGATTTTGTGTTGTTGTGAAGTACACGACGTGTAACATTTTGATTAAAATTTCCTGCAACAGCTGGGGACTGGTAGGTGACGGAACGCACGTTCCCCGAAGACGGCTGACTATAACGTTGAAATATTGGTAGGACTGATGGCATCACACTTACGACCTTTACAAGGTCACTTAACCATTCCGCAAACATCTCGATATTGGGAAATTGAAGCATACTAGTGGCATACCGACTCCATTCAAATTGTTTTGATGGTGGTAATTTTAATATTAGTTGTTCCAATAACATCGGATTCGTCAGATGATGAGTGCAATTAGCTGCCTTGAAAAATGCAACTATATTGCGCACTTGATTGGAGAAATCAATTACGCCTTCAAGACGGCTTTCATAAATAATTGGAAACTGTTGTATTTTCTGCATTTGCGCTCGTATTAATACCTCAGGACGACCAAAATTAAATTCTAACTCTTGTAGTACTTGTGGCACATTATCAGGAAATATAAGCAATGATGACACAACGCGTTTAGCATTACCGTGCAAGGCCTTGTGCAGTCTTATTAAATTTTGACGATTATTATATTTAAACTCACCAGTAGTATCTCTGTAACTGGCTCTAAATAAAGGCCAATCCTCTGGATTACCATCAAAATTTGGCAATGGATATAATTTTGTAGCTGCATTGTCTACGAATGAAATCAGGTGTGGCGCTGCGGATTGATATGGTAACGATACATTAACCGGAGACTGCTGTGGATATTGTGAGGATTCTACATTGCCCATGACAAAGGATGTAGACTCCGACGGCGGCGGCATATTTGATTCAGCAAGATTAACTGGTAACGTATTGACGACAGCAAAATTTGTTTGGTTATGTTCGACAGCTGCGGCAGCGGCGACGGTGACGTTTTGTTGTACAGGCATTCTTAAGCTATGAGCGGCGGCGGTGCTCGTGCTAGACATTCTGATTTCATTTCTAATTTGTTGATTATCTCGACGTAATTCCTTAACGGTATCATTTAGGCTATTTATACTGGCAAATAAGGCGGCTAGTTGATTCTGCGAAATGCTGCAGTTTAACGAATCTTCTTGATTTTCTTTGGCGTCACTCATCTCTACTAGTGTATTGTCTAAAATGTCTGAGTTTAAGGCTACACTATTTTCTTTTTCCTTTTCATTCACTTTCTTTCGCGTCATCATTTTTAATTTTCTATGTACATGTACAAATAACGGGATACGAACAAATTAAACTTGTATACATACAATTCCGCGAAAAACCACACATTAAACTTATATACACGCACACGCATTAAACTTGTACACATACGAGTTACGCGTAGCAACAACTTTTTAAACTTGTTAGACAATAGGCAATAATTTTTGTTTTAATAAATAAAACTTCATATATTATAAATTTGTGTAATATTTATTTAGAATAGTTGATGTTGTGCCGATGTGGCAATGGTGTGTTGTGTACTGTATACTGTGTACTATGTACTATGCACTGTGTTATATACTATGGACTGTGTTCTGTGTTATATTATGTGTTAAAAAGTTGATGTTGCTACTGCGGCACAATGTAGACGACTGACTGGCTTGACATTTGTTACTTGACATTTGTTGAGCTGTCATCACGAATTTTGCTCTGCACGCAGGGTTGCATTTATAAATGTCATTCATGGCTTACTAACAATGCATAAGAGCAATGATACTAGAAGTAGCAATCAAGCAATAAATAAAAGTAAAAATAACAAAAGAGTGACACTAGTTTCAACTGCCAGGAAAATATCAGGATTTCCATGCTTTAGGAAGTTTAGGAAGACTTCACGCTTGAGCGCCGAGCGAAGAGAGTTAACGTTAATGAGAATAATCTTAAGATTATTATACAAAACGAACTCGAAAACTTTTCGCGTGAGAAAGGCCTTTCGATCCTCATGCGAGGTAAGAGCAGAAAATTGTTGCTTGATGCTCACAGCAAACGAAAGCATAGATTCAATATCAGGCATACCAATGGAGGCAGCAGTCGCAGAAGTGCGCGGGGGAGCGCCGAAGTCTGCAGCCATAGAGGCAAAGGAGGTATCGGGCCTAACAAAGTTGGTTGGGAAACGGTTAGGGATTTTAGCCGTTGAGGCTTTGGTTTTTTCTTCACGAGAGGCACGGAGCTCCTCAAATTTGGAGCGCCTATAGTTGGCTGGGTGGCCAGTTTGACCACAGTTGCAACATTTGGGAAGAGTTGCTTAGTCACTGGGTCGAAGGGTTTAGGTGGGAGGGTGCAAGCACCTTTGGAATGTGGACCACCACAACGGACACATCGAGAGGGGAAGTTGCAGTATTTGGCGGTATGGTAGTACCGCTGACAGTTAGAGCATTGGGGCGCGTGTAAATGAGCTTTACGCTCGAACTTAATAATTAAATTAAGAGAAGGAAGCTTAATAATGCTAAGCAGCATTGGAAGGTCCATGCTAGGAGCTGGGTGGAGCTCCTAGATGGAGGAATTGTAGTATCTCTCAGAGTGCTTGGCTAAAAAGCGCCCTGGAGGCCTGAATTTAGCAACACGAGTGAAGCTGAATTGGGGAAGATTAAGGTCATCCTCATCAAAAGAGGATGGGAAATTCTTTAGCAGCACAGGGGTTATTCTGTCCTCAGAAGGGATAGGAGCAAAGCTCTGAATTTTGAGGTCTTTAAGGACCGTATTTATTTTATAGAATGTATCCTTACATTTAGTAAGGATACGAACGGTTTTGCCATTTACGGCTTTAAACTCGTAGGTTGAGTTCGGCAGAGCAGTTTTGATACTGCTGCGAAGTTGCTTTATGTTGGCATCACGCACAGTGATAGCGGGAGGAGTTTTACTACTGGATTGTGGGCTGGAAGTTTGGGGACAGGCCTCTTTGCCACCTGACTTAAAGGTCAGAGGTTAAAGGCAGGCAGGATCGAATGGCTGGGCTGACGCCGAAGAAGGGGCACCGGTCATTAGGGTGGGGGCCTTGAAGGCAACACTAGAGGATTTGGGTGCTGAAAGAGTTGGAAAATCAAAAGCAGCGGAAATAGGGGTTTCTGAAGACAGAAACGGAATTGTCATCAATGTCTTCGGGGTCAGCGGGATCAACTTCTAGATCACTAGAGTTGTCCGCGTGAAGCAACTTTTTAAGTGATGCGTTCTCGTGAAGCACTGAGCGATACGCTTTTTCAAGCGATTCAAGTCTTTTGTTTAATAGAAGGAATTTTTTTTTATAGTTGATTTTCTTGTTATCAGGACTAGGTGGAGAGGTTTTGCGACGCTTTGTCGCGGGGTTCGGCTCCCCCGAGCCGCATTTGGCGCTGCTAGGCGCACATGCCTCCATATCCATAACGGAATGAGGAGATGAGGAGTCAATTGACTGAAAGTCAACCAGACAAGCAGACGGACAACAGAAAAGTATGAATAAGTATATACGAATAAAAATAAGAATAATAACAAAAATAAAGTAAGTGAAAAAAGAATAACAAAATGAAAGGACAAAAGCTGGAGATAAAAAAAATTAAATTAAGAAAATCAAAGTAAAACAAACTAAAAAAAAAAATAATACATAAAATAAAAAAAGAATCAAAAATAATAAATATAAATAAAAGTAATATATAATAAAAAATAAATATAAAATATAAATATATAGAATATATGAAAAATATAAGATAAAATAAAAATAAAAAATTTATTCAATTTATTTAAAATTGTTACTGTTAATAAAAAAATTGCCAAGTAATAAGTACTAGATAATAAATAAAATAAAAAATAATTAATAAAATAAAAATA